CAGAAGAGACCTCCTTTCTGGTTCATGCTACTCTGTCTTTAATGAAAGAAAGCCCTTTAGATGACCCACCCTAGAAATTTTAACAGGATAACCAATGAATTATGTACTTTCCTGATTTCTAGAGATGATTTATATATAGGACTAGCTGATAACCAGGCATTGCCCAGGTATTCATTTATAGGGGGAAAATGTCCGAACCAAACGTAATGTCTAATGTTGGATTTTCCCCTTACCAGAGGGAACCCCCTTGTACTGTGAAGCTGTTACCATGGCAACTCCTCTGCGCTGTTCAGTAGAAGCCATTTTATGGCAGGACAGTAGAAGCCATTTTAAGGTACAACAGGCTGTATCTTAACAGAACACACACACCAAGGAGTTTTAGAGGTGTCTTACCCTCACAGTATTTGTTTCTAGAGAGTAAGTCATCTGTGTACCAAGTTTAGTTGAAATTACTTGAGGCATTCCAGAGTTATGCTGGAACACACATACACACACATGCACACACATTATATATATAGAAAGAAGAAGAAGAAGATAAAGTGATCTCTAGAGTAACCTGTGGCCATGCAATTGTTATATAGGGCTTCGTGGATAATGACCAGAACTTTGAATTGGCTTGGAAGCCTTCTGGCAAACAATAAAAGAGAATGAGTTTCCTCTGCTAATAGCAAGTTCATTGCATCTTATTTGGATTGTAACTTTCAAATAATCTTCAATGGCAATCTTGTATAGAGCACAATGCAATAAACCAAATGTGATAACTGTGAATTATTTTTGCCAAGTTTTTTGTGTCATCTTGAACTCTTGCTAAACAAAAGCAGTTGAGAATTTCAGGTGAATCTCCTGTTGCATTAACAGAAAATATAGAAACTTTATAAAGCCATTTGAGTATCTCATCCATCGTTGATGTGCATGCTAGACACACGCTCTACCAGCAGTATGTGGTAAGCAGATACACACAATTTCTACCAAAGAGACAATCTAGCAAGGCTAGTTCATAAGGCCCTGCAAAGCTATATTTCTGTTGATGAAATTAACAAAAGTAACTTGTGGAATTAGATATTTGAAGGACGATATTATTTTGCAGTCTTATATGGCCTGATCCAGTCTTATTTAATCACTTTTATGGTACTGTACTGTATTGCAAACAACCAATCACTTTTTCTTCTGCTTTTTATGGATTCACAAAGAAAATGTAATTGTACTACTACACTTTGGACCTTGCATCTAGTAGGCAGTCTTCCCCATCCAGGCACTACAGAGTATAGGATGGAGAGATCAGCTTTTGCAATTTAGAACTTCATAAATCTGTCATAGTACTAATCTTCTCTTAAGGGCAAAGCTGTTCTTTTTTTTTTTCTTAAACAAAAGGTGACAGTCCCAATTTGCATGAACCCTTAGGCACTGAAGCTTGTTGCAAGTGAAATACAGTACTACCGAGTTTCTATTAAATGCCAGTGGGGTAGAAACCAACTAAAAGGGAGAGAGTACAAACTTAAGTTTCTAAGTATGTAGCCCTTGAAATATATTGGGCGATACTGTACTGTACTCCCATCATCCTAATTAACAGGATTATTTCCTGTTGGGTAAGTAGGTACATTGCTTATAGCAACCTCACCAGACTTGCATAGAGGACCACTAGGAAATTCTAGAGCTGTAGGCAATATATCATCATCATCATCGTTCAGGATGGCAAATAATTTCTTATTGCTACCAAGAGCCACATTCAGCTGAAGGTAGTCTACTTTTAACTGGTTGCACCATAGTGGGTTAGTGAATATGTCTAATTTGCAGCATGCATTCATTATATTTATGGCATTTATTTTATTCAGGAAGTGGATGTAGGTATAACGTAGTCCTTCCACTAGTTATTTAGATTTATTTCACAAAATGGAAGTAAAAATTACACAGAGGAGCTGGCTGTTGTTGCCTTTCTGTTCTTTTTTTTACTTCCTTAACAAATCAGCCCACTGTAACAACATTGCCAAAAAGGCATTAAGAGTTGTTAACCTAATCTTGNCATTGCTAAGCAAGGTAATTGTTGAGTCAGTCATGCCCAAATTTACAATCTCTTTTTGCCATGGTTGTTAAGCAGAAGACTGCAGTTGTTAAGTAATTCATGTGATTGTTAAACAAATCTGGCTGCCCCAATTGGCTTTGCTTGTCAGAAGCCAGCTGGGAAGCTTGCAGATGTCAATCACATGACCCCAGGATGCTGCAAGCCATTGTAAATACACATTGGTTGCCAATCATCTGAATTTTGTTCATGTGACCCTGGGGATGTTGCAATAGTCATAAGTTATGAGACTAGTTATAAGCCACATTTTTCATTGCTGTTATAATTTTGAACAGTTGCTAAGCAATTGGTTGTAAGTTAAGGACCTCTTGTTTTTTATTTTCACATGTAGAGCAATATAATACAATACTGAAGGAAACTCAAGTTCCAGTTCAAAGGTTTTTTTAAAAAAACATTTTTGTTTCAGTTTCTTTTGGTATAATGTTCCTGATTTAAGTAAACATGCTGATTATTATTATCATACTTTACAATTTTGATGATTCCATATTTGGGTCCACATTTAAAGCTGTATGAAATAGTTTTTGGTCACCAAGGATGATGTATTAATGCCAAAATATTGAACTTGGGACAAAAGCTTCTTGTTTAAGTATGGCCCATAAGTATACTGGTGAAGGAGTTCAAAATAGTCTCTATGATATTATTTAAAAATTCAAATGAAATTCAGCTTAATATAAATTTCAATTTTTAAGAAAGTCAATTCAAACCAAATGCCAACTAATTTTGGCTCTCCGTTTGACAATTATTTTATTTTGAATTTAATCTGGTATTAGATTGTAGCCTTGGATTTGGTTGCAAATCTAACACCTTTATTGTATACCTGACCTACATATTTCATTTGTGGATTCCCTTGTGAGCACTAAATGTATCTGGCTATTAACACTCAGCCTGGGTGTCTGAATAAACATTGGATGCATAATTCAATCTTGACATATTTTTCTCTTTTATATATTTTTCTCAAGGGGACTCTAGCTGCAGAATGTACTGAAGCAATCATTAATCTATCAGAATTTCATGTATCCCATCATGGAGCATTGAAAAGATTCTCTAGAGCTATTTTTTTCCTATTTGTTATTTCCGTGTTACAACATATCATGATAGCTAAAATATGCATAATATTCCCTATTCATCAAAAATATGAAGATGTCTTTTTATAAAGCAGTGAATATTTCAAGGCTGTTTGGTTATAGAGAACCATCTTAAACCTAAGTATCAGAAATACATCAATAGTATCTCAGAATTGGAAGACACTCTTGTACTAGCTGTCAATCATTTTATATAAACATCATGCAAATTAAATTGTGCCATCAAACCAGAGCAATTTGCTGTGGCATTTAGTTTATGCTGCGTTTCAGTTTTATTTTGTTGCTGTTATAAACCCATATTTTGTGCTCAAGAGAGATCCTTGCTATATTCTAAAATAGAATACATCTTGCCAATCCTCTAGTGGGCAGATGTTAAGTTATGTTTGCAGAATGAACGGAGAGTCAGACTTGATTCTGCTAGTAATGCATATTATATCATTTATTTATTTAGTTAAATAGATTTTCATCTTTTTGCTAAATGTATCCAAGGTGGTTTTACAATTTAAAATAATGGTATATAACGTCATGGTTATAAGTTAAAAGATCAAGGGAAAGGAAAATGAGTGTATTGTTCTGTTCAAACATAATTGCATGCTGAGGAATGATCATTGTTGCTTATACATCAAAACAAGCATCATCTGAATACTAGAAAAAATATTTGTAGTCCTATGGGTGGAGGGTGGGGAATAATCAAGGGTTGCAGGACATAATTCTTGATGAAGATTAAGCCTAAAGAAAGGCAGTTTTTCCCAGGGACCACATTTTGTGTTTTCTCTCCCTCAACACCTCTTTAGCCTTTGAGGGGTTGAAGAAGATATGATTATTGATGTATGGGGTGTGAGGTGGTTATCCTTCAGATTTTTTTCTCTTCTCAAATTTTACCATTCAGTTTTCATCTTTACAAAGTATTCCAGGATAATAAATCAACAATGCTTTAATATAACCGACTTTCAGAATGCTAACTTTGAAAGAAGGCAAGGCTATGGCATACTTAAATTTAAATGTATGTTTTGTATGGATTAATGTGATTTTTTTGTGAGTTGGAATGGAATGAACACATGGTAAATGGACTTGATCTGAAACTGAATGGATTTCTCTGTTGCTTGTAATCTTAACTGTTTCTGTACATGGAAATCATTTTTTTCAAGAGTAATGCTGTTACTGTTTGGAACATTATAAAAAGTGCCCTTCAATTCATTTTTTTTAATGAGATAATGAAATTAGGAAAAAAAAATTATAACCCTACCCAAAACCATGCTGCTAAAATTCCAACTGGTTCCTGTGAAAGCCTTGGACTTGATTGTAGACCTCAATGGTCTTCCTCTTTTATCCCTTCCCTCTGCCCTCCCAAACTTTGCATCCTTTTGATTTTTACATGTAGTTAGAGGGGGCTTTCTTGCGAGCTTCAGTCCAACTAATTTGGTTTTGCCAAAAGTTTTTGCTTTGTCTCTTGTTAGGGTACAAATTAATGTAACTTTTGTATAAATGTTAGCAGCAGCAAAAGCCCATCTGGCCCTGCAAATGATAATTTGAAATTCTTTCAGCATTTTATGACTTGAGGTTCTGGCAGACTTTAATTTGATTCTTCTAGGCTTCTGCCAAAGTTATTTTTTAAAGTTAGAATAGAACTGAAACTCTTTTAGAGAGAAAAATTACACAAATATCTTGCCATTTCATTTTAAATCTATTTCTATTATTGCTGACATTTAAATTTAATTATAGAGTAAAATTGTTTGATTTGTTAAGCAGGCGGTGATGGTGCTGAATATCTGTTTTATAACAATATCAATTCTCTTTCTATATAATAATGCTAACTTTTTTCTTGGTCTTGTTTTGTTCAGAGCTGCCCAGAAACTTAACCTGTCCTCAAAGAAAAAGAAGCATCATGCACCTTTGCTGCACTCCCATGGTGTCTCTATCTATGCCACAAATTTTAGTGGCATCCTACAGATGTATCCTCCTCCAGCACCACCATGCCTTTTAAGAGCTGTATCAAAAGTCAAAGACAACCCAGGAATTGGAAAGGTATTTAAATCTCTGTTTCCTAGTTGCTTCCTTAATAATAATGAAGAATTGGATAGCCAAATGTATTCTGACTGGAATGAATCTAATCCATTCTAATGTAATCTAGAAAAACTGTTTGTTCCTGTTGACAAGAATGTAATCCATNAACCTTGCTACTTGGTAACTGTACGTATGGGCCCAGATATTGGGCAAATCAAAAAGTAGGATGGCTAGAACCTAACAGAACATAGGGTAGTTCAGTAAGCGGTTCCACAAGAGCAAAGATTACATGGCCCTATATGTTGCTGAACTTAAATTTGCAGGCATTATCAGAATTACTAGTGAGAGATCTTGGGAGTTCGTAATTCAGCAGTCTCTGAACACCCCAGGTTCCCATTTCTCATTATAGATATGTTTTATAAGGATCTTCTACAACCTAGAGCTACCATTAATCTGCAGAAACTTTGACCATATTAATTTCACTGGGAGGTAAACTAAATACTCTCCTATTAGTAAATATTTGCTTCATGCCTATGCCTGACAATTGTTTCTTTGCAAAGGCTACTGTTCTCTTGCCATTTTGATCTCTTTTCTTCCACCTGGTTTCACTTTTGCTTTTGAAATGGTGAGAAAAATGAGTAATCAAAACTGAGTTCCTCCTCTCTATTTTCCTAGCCTCCAGGAAAAGAAACTTCTGTATTATTATAGAAGTTCTGAATGGATCACTTACGTAAGGTTTTGAAGTGAGGCTAAGGACTGTATGTAATTAATCTGAGATGTGGCCCTATGGCTGCAGATAATTGGCAGTGATGAAAGAAGTAAGCAACCTTCATCTGCCTGTTGATTGGTTTTATAAATAATCTCAGTTGCTTCATTAGCATTGCAGAAGGCAAAACTAAGTTCTTTCTACTGCAAGAATTAGGATCCTCCAGGTTATGGTTCAAGTTTATCCTATAAGGTTTTTGCTGAGTCTCCCTCTGAGAACAAAAAGAGATTGGTTTCATTGGGACATGGCTTGAGGTGGTAGTTCCTCAGGGTTTTCCATGGTTTTCACTAGAAACCTGCTACTTCAAAGTGCTGAGAATGTCTTCAGGTAGCAGTTCTCTGAGTAGAGCAGCGATGTCTCCTCCTGCACTGTTATTGTGTGTCTCTACAATGGGGATGTGTGCTGCAAAGGAGTGGGGAGTGTGAATTGGCTATGTATTCTGGACCCTGAGAGCAGACGAATTCCCTTTCCCATTTTAATGTATCATTTGCCTCTTAGAATAGCCCTATGTNCTCATCTGTCTGGAACCCGCACTACATATTGGACATTAATACAATTGAGTGAGTCCAGAGATATTTCACAAGAAGAGTCCTCCACTCCTCTCCTCGCAACAGAATACCTTATGCCACCAGACTTGAAATTTTGAGCTTAGACAACTTAAAACTACACCGCCTTTGGTCTGATCTAAGTGTAGTACACAAAAGCAACAGAGTGGTCAATGCCTGGAATGTACTACCGGACTCTGTGGTTTCTTCCCCAAACCCCCACAACTTTAACCTTAGACTGTCTACTTAGAGCTGACCCCATTCCTAAGAGGTCTGTAAGGGGTGTGCATAAGCACACCAATGTGCCTACCGTACCTTTCCTGTATTCCCTTTTATTCGTATTTATTTCATGTATTCAAATCATGTTTATTCTTATATATGTTATTTAATACATGCTTGAGAAAATAAATAAATAAATAAATAATAAAATAACCACTATCCATTTGTTGTACATATTTCTTATCCTAATTCCCTTTCTTCTCCACATTTCTCCTAATCTCATTAAGCAATCTTCAGACTGCAAGATTTTGTTTGCTTTTCCTCCACTATTTTTTTGGGTGTCTAATCTCCAAATAGTTTGTTCCTTTAGCCTGATTGCTTTCTTTTCCCTTAATAACTTCTGACTTTTATTTCAGTTAGTTGTCTTTATCTGGATATCACTTATTTAACAGCCCCACCCTCCAATCCCTGCAGGTTGAGAGCAGCAGCTGTCATGCTCAGTAGCTTTGCTTTCCTGGGGTTTGTAGCATTCCATAGTTACAGTGATAATCATGACTTGCCAAGCATGCAGTAATTTGACAGTGTGCACCTGTTTTTGTCTCTTTTTTTATTGGTGACATTCCAACTCTTTGGTACCATTATATATTTAACTAGTGTAACACTTCTCCAGGGTTGACAGCCTTGACAGACTGAGGGATAAAGATCTGTCTGCTCCTCGACATGTATAATTTTGTCTTCTTATTGTTGGTATGGTAGAAAGAATTTTGGGGGTATTTATAATATGCACTTCCGAAGCCTGCAGGTCAAGTTGCCTTTTCTGTAATTCAGACTTGGCTTGTTTGCTGCTAAATTGTGTTTTATGGATAAATCTTAATTTTTATTCCAAGTGTAATGCAGGAGTAATATGCTTTATGTACATCCTACACACAGCCTCTTTTAGTATTATTCTTTATCATTTGCACCATGTAAATATACTTTAGATTTTATGGCCTGGATTTATATAGTTTTAAAGGAATGGCCATAATCTCTTCCTGCATACTAGTTCATTTTTAGCTTTTTAAGCATGCAAATAGGAACCCCAGTGGGGGGAACTCCTTCACGAATGATAGGCTGTCTGCTAAAACGAAGCAAGGCACTTGAAAGAAAACTGGGATGCTTGTAATTGTGGCGTCTGTCTGGTAAGAACAAAGAATGTTTATTCATAGAGAATATGCATGTGTAACACTTGTATCAATTCTAGGTTGACAACTGATTAAAAAAACCTGATAACAGTAGCAAAGAGTTAGACATCCTGCATTCTTTTGCTAGAGTAAGGAGTAAGGAATAAAGATGGCTTGGAGCAAATAGAATGTGTATTAGATAATTCCTGGAGCATTCATCAGCCAAGGTTTAGAAATAGGGACGGCTAGAGATCAATAGGGACAACTATTAGATCATTACTAAAATGCTTTATTAGATGATTTGTTTTATATATCCCGCATTATCCCACCTTCCACTTTAGTGAAAATGTATAAAGCTTTCTTAATTCTATTGTTCAAGGTTCCTTGGCATTTTCTAGCCAGGATCCCTTTTCTTGGAGTGCTCCAATAAAAGGAAACAAAATCTGCATCTTGTATCTGGAGTTCTTCATCGGCTTTGGCACCAGGTTCAGACCAGAATTGGGGACAGCACTACCATAAACCTTGCTACTTGGTAACTGTACGTATGGGCCCAGATATTGGGCAAATCAAAAAGTAGGATGGCTAGAACCTAACAGAACATAGGGTAGTTCAGTAAGCGGTTCCACAAGAGCAAAGATTACATGGCCCTATATGTTGCTGAACTTAAATTTGCAGGCATTATCAGAATTACTAGTGAGAGATCTTGGGAGTTCGTAATTCAGCAGTCTCTGAACACCCCAGGTTCCCATTTCTCATTATAGATACATTTTATAAGGATCTTCTACAACCTAGAGCTACCATTAATCTGCAGAAACTTTGACCATATTAATTTCACTGGGAGGTAAACTAAATACTCTCCTATTAGTAAATATTTGCTTCATGCCTATGCCTGACAATTGTTTCTTTGCAAAGGCTACTGTTCTCTTGCCATTTTGATCTCTTTTCTTCCACCTGGTTTCACTTTTGCTTTTGAAATGGTGAGAAAAATGAGTAATCAAAACTGAGTTCCTCCTCTCTCTTTTCCTAGCCTCCAGGAAAAGAAACTTCTGTATTATTATAGAAGTTCTGAATGGATCACTTACGTAAGGTTTTGAAGTGAGGCTAAGGACTGTATGTAATTAATCTGAGAGGTGGCCCTATGGCTGCAGATAATTGGCAGTGATGAAAGAAGTAAGCAACCTTCATCTGCCTGTTGATTGGTTTTATAAATAATCTCAGCTGCTTCATTAGTATTGCAGAAGGCAAAACTAAGTTCTTTCTACTGCAAGACTTAGGATCCTCCAGGTTATGGTTCAAGTTTATCCTATAAGGTTTTTGCTGAGTCTCCCTCTTGAGAACAAAAAGAGATTGGTTTCATTGGGACATGGCTTGAGGTGGTAGTTCCTCAGGGTTTCCCATGGTTTTCACTAGAAACCTGCTACTTCAAAGTGCTGAGAATGTCTTCAGGTAGCAGTTCTCTGAGTAGAGCAGCGATGTCTCCTCCTGCACTGTTATTGTGTGTCTCTACAATGGGGATGTGTGCTGCAAAGGAGTGGGGAGTGTGAATTGGCTATGTATTCTGGACCCTGAGAGCAGACGAATTCCCTTTCCCATTTTAATGTATCATTTGCCTCTTAGAATAGCCCTATGTCCTCTGGAGTCTCCATGGAGTCTACTTCACCATGAAAAACATTTAAAC